AATACCCAAATGGGCCCACTAGTATAGATGTTTACTCTTGAGAATTCAAACTGGGTTTAATTGTGTTTAGGTAAATTAAAAGTTACAATTATAAAAGACAGATGGTGATGGTGTCATTGGTGTTCTCTACTCCTTGTGTTGGTCCAGAATGAGATTATCTGGATTCCATTTGTGAATCAAAACATTTCTGGTTTGGGTGGGGGCGTTCATTGTAAAGCCAGCTTCAGAAGTAGTGGATCAGGTTTTGAGGGATTGTTATGATTTCCAGTCATGATGTGAAATAGCATAATTGCCCCTACATTCTGTAGAATTCAATGGCACAATTCAGGAACCGAGGTTATTCTACACTGCTTTGCATTCTAAAGTAAAAGCCCTTTGGAATGGAACTTATAGGAAATTACACAAATATATCTTCTTTCTCAGAATGAGGAGGGTCAGTGATATCAAGGATCCTTGGAACGTCCCTACCCTAAACCATAACCTTAACCCTTACCTTAACCATTTTAAATATTAACGTCAATGGGGGTAGGGACATCCCAAGGATCCCAGATAGCACAGACCCTGAAGTTTGTGTGAGATATGGGAAACTAGAACATATCGCGGGCCCACCATTTCTCACAGTTGGAAAATTGGGAGAGGGGAGTTTCCTGACATTGGTGTTGGTTTGGTTTCTTTACCTGGATGCAACGTAACCCAGTCCAACACAGAACGGCTCTAAGGCTTCTCTGCATTCCACAGTATAGACAATACTACCTAAGAAAACATTGAGGTCGCCGTAGGGCAGTGTTAATTTCGTCAACAAAAATAGTGACTCAAATATTTGTCAAACACCTATTTTTCAGTGGCAATTGACGAGACTATAGCTGACTAAATATACCCAGAAAAAACTATAACTAAACGAAAATGATTTTTCATTTCAGACAAATTATCTCTGTGACTAAAATCGGACTACTAAGTGGACTGGACAAGAGTTTTTGGAGAGATTGAGAGCTTTCAGTGATAAACACAATTAATATTAGCAGCACAGATGCGCAGCGCAGTTCTGTTCAGCAGTGGGAAGGACTCGTCACACCTGACAAACACAGCCTACATCAGCTGGTGACCTGCGGGGGAGCTGGCGATGAGTGTGGGCAGACAGGCAGACATTGTCCGCTCCGTCTCCGCCTCCGATTATACACATCGCGCAGGTGGCTCCAGCCTTCTAGTTAGCTACCCTTTGTCTGGTTAAGAAACAAAAGCTGCTTACGAAATTAAAAACAATAGCATCATTGAGTTTAATAGTAAAACAACAGTCTAGCTATGTTTTTCTCTCCCTTGAGTAGGCTATAGAAAAGTAGTCTGTCTTGGAATTTGTAGTCTCGCTCAACCTTCCCACTTTTCCCACTGCATTTCATATACAGGTTCTGTAGCCAACGTAGCCAAGTCTCCCTCTTTTCCACAGAGAAAACGTCTTGATTCTAGCCCTTAGGCTACCGTTCAAAAGACATGACCCATAATATCGGCGCTACGTTTTTTTCTTTATATTGTGCATAGGCGGGCCGCATTTTACATTGATAAAGCATATCGCGGGCCGTTCTAAAACTAGGCTACTTGAGGACCGGACCATTAACCATTTGTTTAGGCTACACCTTGTTCAGAAATGTTACCTCATTAGCTATTTATAGCTAACAACCTGGGGCGCGTTCAGCAGGACCAAACTTTTTGGAACGTTCAGATGACACAAGTAATTTTTCCAACAATTGTTTACAGACACATTATTTCACTTATAATTCACTGTATCACAATTCCAGTGGGTCAGAAGTTTACATACACTAAGTTGACGGTGCCTTTAAACAGCTTTGAAAATTCCAGAAAATGATGTCATGGCTTTAGAAGCTTCTGATAGGCTAATTGACATCATTTGAGTCAATTGGAGGTGTACCTGTGGATGTATTTCAAGGCCTACCTTCAAACTCAGTGCCTCTTTGCTTGACATCATGGGAAAATCAAAACAAATCAGCCAAGACCTCAGAAAAAAAATTGTAGACCTCCACAAGTCTGGTTCATCCTTGGGAGCAATTTCCAAATGCCTGAAGGTACCACGTTCATCTGTACAAACAATAGTACGCAAGTATAAACACCATGGGACCATGCAGCCGTCATACCGCTCAGGAAGGAGACGCGTTCTGTCTCCTAGAGATGAACGTACTTTGATGCGAATCAATCCCAGAACAACAGCAAAGGACCTTGTGAAGATGCTGGAGGAAACAGGTACAAAAGTATCTATATCCACAGTAAAACGAGTCCTATATCGACATAACCTGAAAGGCCTCTCAGCAAGGAAGAAGCCACTGCTCCAAAACCGCCATAAAAAATCCAGACTACGGTTTGCAACTGCACATGGGGACAAAGATCGTACTTTCTGGAGAAATGTCCTCTGGTCTGATGAAACAAAAATAGAACTGTTTGGCCATAATGACCATCGTTATGTTTGGAGGAAAAAGGGGGTCACTTGCAAGCTGAAGAACACCATCCCAACAGTGAAGCACGCGGGTGGCAGCATCATGCTGTGGGGGTGCTTTGCTGCAGGAGGGACTGATGCACTTCACAAAATAGATGGCATCATGAGGAAGGAAATGTATGTGGATATATAGAAGCAACATCTCAAGACATCAATCAGGAAGTTAAAGCTTGGTCGCAAATGGGTCTTCCAAATGGACAATGACCCCAAGCATACTTCCAAAGTTGTGGCAAAATGGCTTAAGGACAACAAAGTCAAGGTATTGGAGTGGCCATCACAAAGCCCTGACCTCAATCCTATAGAACATTTATGGGCAGAACTGAAAAAGCGTGTTGAGTGTATGTAAACTTCTGACCCACTGGGAATGTGATGAAAGAAATAAAAGCTGAAATAAATTATTCTCTCTACTATTATTCTGACATTTCACATTCTTAAAATAAAGTGGTGATCCTAACTGACCTAAGACAGGGAATTTTTAATAGGATTAAATGTCAGGAATTGTGAAAAACTGATGTTAAATGTATTTGACTAAGATGTATGAAAACTTCCGACTTCAACTGTACCTTGAAGAGATCCTGAGGCCCATTGTCGTGCCATTCATCCACTGCCATCACCTCACATTTCAGCATGATAATGCACAGCCCCAAGTTGCAAGGATCTGTACACAATTCCTGGAAGCTGAAAATGTCCCAGTTCTTCCATGGCCTGCATACTCACCAGACATGTCACCCATTGAGCATGTTTGGGATGCTCTGGATCGACGTGTACGAAAGTGTGTTCCAGTTCCCGCCAATATCCAGCAACTTTGCACAACCATTGAAGAGGAGTGGGACAATATTCCACAGGCCACAATCAACAGCCTGATCAACCTTATGCGAAGGAGATGTGTCACGCTACATTAGATAAATGGTGGTCACACCAGATACTGACCTGTTTTCTGATCCATTCTCCTACTTTTTTTTAAAGGTATCTGTGACCAATACATATCTGTATTCCCAGTCATGTGAAATCCATAGATTAGGGCTTCATTTATTTATTTAAATTGACTGATTTCCTTATATTAACTGTAACTCCGTAAAATCTTTGAAATTGTTGCGTGTTGCGTTTATATTCTTGTTCAGTGTAGAACAAACATGCCTCTCCGACATGTTGAATATGGAATAACGTCAGCTCTATTCATGGAATTTTTATCTGCAAGTTCAACAATGTTTTTCAACTGAACGTGGCCCTGGTAACATACCAGTACCTATATGCAAACATTTGGTGGCACAGAAAGAAAGGAAAAGGGATAGAAAACAATTTAGTGACAAAATTCCTCTGGCCACTACATGTAGTCGAGTAACTGGGAGTAAGTGGACCCAGTGACTCAGACTTTAGCACTTGGACCAGGACTCGAGCATTGGGAGTTGGACTTCAGCCATAGGGACTCGTGACTCGACTATTGGTGACTCGAGCACAGGGGACTCAATTCGGACTCGTAGTTTAGTGACTCATTGACAGTCATTAGCTCCCGTTTAAAGTCATTAGCCCCCGTTCTACTTTTGGACATCAATGTGGCTGTGGAACGTTTATAACAATGGCAATGACGCGACTGAGTGATGGAGAGTCAACCCATACTACTTTGCCAATACTTTGAGGATTGTGCTACTCTCTCTCTCTCTCTCTCTCTCTTTCTCTCTTTCTCTCTTTCTCTCTCTCTCTCTCTCTCTCTCTCTCTCTCTCTCTCCTCTCTCTCTCTCCTCTCTCTCTCTCTCTCTCTCCTCTCCTCTCTCTCTCCTCTCTCTCTCTCTCTCTCTCTCTCTCTCTCTCTCTCTCTCTCCTCTCTCTCTCTCTCTCTCTCTGTGCTTGTGTGTGTCTGTTTGTTTTGTATGTAATGTGCAATATCTATCTAGGCTGAATTTGGAATTTACATGGAATTAGGAATTTATTATTTTTATGTATAGTATGTTTGTCATATTTCTGCTGTTGGGAAGAGAATATGATGTTATGCAGAAAAATATGTTGATAGGACAAGGCTATGTAAGTCAGTGATTTATGTTTCCTATAGGTTAATGAGGCAAAACATATGTGATGTGACTAAAATGTGACTAAAATGAAAGGACATTTAGTTGGCTAAAATGGACCACTGTTTTCGTCATTTTTCACAATAACTAGACAAAATCATTATTCAAATGACAAAAATTACTAGACTAAATCTAAAAAAAGAGTGCCAAAATTAACACTGCTATAGGGTTATGTTTCAGATTGTTTATTGTACACATATGTCACAAGTTAGTGAAAATATATCCTTTGCTGGAAAAATAATGAAATAACTTTCACTTATCCAGTTTGGAATGGAAACCACTGCAATCTGACCCTTCTCTGCAAATAACATTGTCATTGTTTGAGTCAATGCATCTGTGGAATTGGAAATGTTTGTTAACTTACAGGAAGTTACAGGGATTTGAGGAAGTACTGTGACTCAGTTACCACACAGATCCACTTTTACTTGACTAACAACATGGTGATATTTTTTGCAGGCTCTACGTACTATGACAATGTGCGGCCTCTCTCCTACCCTGACGCTGATGCAGTCCTCATCTGCTTTGACATCAGTAGACCAGACACCCTGGACAGTGTACTGAAGAAGGTGAGTGTTTTGTGGTGATATAGCCTACTCTTGTCCTGGAAGCTTAATAAGCTGCCTCTGCTCCCCTTGAACTGGGGAACAGTGGCCTGTCCCAATGGCATTTTCACTCAGTCCCTGTCACGATTGTCATTTGAAGAAACGGGCCAATGCGCAGCGTGGAATGCGAACATCTTTTATTTATCTTTCACCACACCAACAAAAACAACAAAATGAAACGTGAAGTCCTCGGTCATTAACACAAACCAACACGGAACAAGATACCACACCACACAAATGCCAAACGACTACCTAAGTATGGTTCCCAATCAGAGACAACAAGCAACAGCTGATTCACGTTGCCTCTGATTGAGAACCACCCCGGCCAACATAGAAACACATCAACTAGATCCTGAACATAGAAACACAAAACATAGACTCTACACACCCTGGCTCAACATAACTCCAGAGCCAGGGCATGACAGTACCCCCCCCCCCCCCCCCCCCCAAAGGCGCGGACTGCGACCGCGCCAAACATAAACCGAACAGGGGAGGGCCGGGTGGGCATTCCTCCTCGGAGGCGGATCCGGCTCCGGGCTTGACCACCACCCTCTAACAACCCCCCCGTAGCGTCCCTGGTCTGGTCCCGCTGGCTGGAGCTGGACTGGACATCGGTGGAGTGGATTGCTTAGGCTCCGGTGTGGAGCAGCTGACCGGTACCTGACCAGGCACCGGTGAAACGGGCACGGGCTGTGCCGGACTGACGACGCGCACCACAGGCTTGGTGCGGGGAGCAGGGACGGGCCGGACCGGGCAGGGACGGGCCGAACCGGGCTGACGAAGCAGGAACAGGCCGGGCCGGGCTGGCGACGCGCACCACAGGCTTGGTGCGGGGAGCAGGAATGGGCCGGACCGGCGACGCGCACCATAGGCTTGGTGCGGGGAGCAGGAACTGGCCGGGCCGGGCTGGCGATGCGCACCATTGGCTTGGTGCGGGGAGCAGGAATGGGCCGGACCGGGCTGACGACGCGCACCCCTGGCTTGGTGCGGGGAGCAGGAACGGGCCGGGCCGGGCTGGCGACGCGCACCATAGGCTTGGTGCGGGGAGCAGGAACAGGCCGGGCCGGGCTGGCGACGCGCACCATTGGCTTGGTGCGGGGAGCAGGAACGGGCCGGGCCGGGCTGACGACGCGCACCATAGACTTGGTGCGGGGAGCAGGAACGGGCCGGACCGGACTGACGATGCGCACCACAGGCTTGGTGCGGGGAGCAGGAACAGGCCGGGCCGGGCTGGCGACGCGCACCATTGGCTTGGTGCGAGGGGCAGGAACAGGCCGGACCGGGCTGACAACGCGCACCATTGGCTTGGTGCGAGGGGCAGGAACAGACCGGGCTGACGACGCGCACCATTGGCTTCGTGCGAGGGGCAGGAACCGGCCGGGCCGGGCTGGCGACGCGCATCACAGGCTTGGTGCGAGGGACAGGAACAGGCCAGACCGCACTGGGAACACACACACTGGCCTTATACGGGGATCAGGAACGGGCCGGACCGGACTGGCAACACACTTCAGTACCTCTCGCCGTGCCTCTACACTTTCCCTCCCTCTAATCACCAATGGCTCCCGTAACCCGGTGGCCTTCTCTCCTCGTCCACAAACTCGCCCTTTATCTGCCTCCAGCAGCCCCGTCGCCCATGCCATGTGCCCCCCCCCTAAAAATTTCTTGGGGGTGCCTCTCCCCCGTGGATATGGCCTCCATGGCTCTCGCCAGACTCTCCATCCTCTGCTCCCAAGTCCAACCTCTCTCCTCTTCACGCTGCTTGACCCAGTCGAGGTGGTATCTTCTGTCACGATCGTCATTTGAAGAAACGGGCCAATGCACAGCGTGGAATGCGAACATCTTTTATTTATCTTTCACCACACCAACAAAAACAACAAAACGAAACGTGAAGTCCTCGGTCATGAACACAAACCAACACGGAACAAGATACCACACCACACAAATGCCAAACGACTACCTAAGTATGGTTCCCAATCAGAGACAACAAGCAACAGCTGATTCACATTGCCTCTGATTGAGAACCACCCCGGCCAACATAGAAACACATCAACTAGATCCTGAACATAGAAACACAAAACATAGACTCTACACACCCTGGCTCAACATAAGAGTCCCCAGAGCCAGGGCGTGACAGTCCCCTTGACCCATGACCCTTTCTGGAAAGGCCTCCATTTGTGTTTCTGGGTCAAGTGGCCTTTGAAAATCCCTAATCTGCTGAAAACTAAGGCTGTACCAATGAGAGAGGGGTCTAAAACTAGGGCAGCAGCAATGAGAGCGGGGACGGGGAGGATTGTGAAAACAAACTCACGTAAGGCTCAGAAGTAGTCCAACAAGCCTTGTTCACATGTGGTCTCCCAGACATGGCTATTGAGTGTCTCAGTGCCCTTTGACCTGTGATGTCACTAAGGCTCAGTATTGTACCAGCTGAGAGGAGTGTGGTCCAGTGAGAGGGGGAGTGATCCTTCCTCTGGAGAGAGCATGATCACCAGGCTGTTTCTCTCTTTAATCCCCCTCCATAAGGCCCCAATTCTGGACTAATGTTGATCTCTCCCTTTTCTTTCCTCCGTATAGTGGAAAGGAGAGATTCAGGAATTCTGTCCTAACACCAAGATCCTGCTGGTGGGATGCAAGTCAGACCTACGCACAGACCTCTTCACCAAATCTCACAGTGGACATACGCCAGTGTCCTATGATCAGGTGGGTGTCATGTCTTTCTAAATCTCATTTAAGATCATGGACTTAAACATGATCAGGTGTTAAAAGCGCTGGGAACAGTTTGTACTAGGCAACTCTCCAGACTGATATCTTTGTGTTATTCTCTCTCTCCATCTCAGGGCTCCAACATGGCCAAGCAGATCAGTGCTCCCTACATTGAGTGTTCATCCCTGCAGTCTGAGAACAGCGTCAGAGACATCTTCCATGTGGCCACGCTGGCCTGCGTCAACAAGAGCAACAAGAATGCCAAATGCAACAAGTCCTCCAGGAGCACCAAGAGGATCTCACACAGCAGGCCAGACCTGCCCACAGTGGTGTCAGACTTCCAGAAGACCAAAGCCAAGACCTGTGCTGTTATGTGACTGCATGGGCTGTGATTGGAATCTGGGATTGAAGGACAATGTTGAAGGACATGCTAATGAGCATATGATTTTTGGATAACTATGAAGGGCTTTGTGCACTATTAGAAGACTATCGATCTCCACAGCTATTGCCAACTGAATGAGAGATGGTGTTTAGGTAGGTTTAGGTAGCGGCAGCAACTATGCTGTGGTATGTTATGTACATTATCTGTGGTTGTATCCTGCCTTTTTACAAGTTAAATGAAGCATAACACCGAGGAGTCAATGAACGTACATGAACTGGATGTGTTCACCTGGAGTTAACTGGGATTTATCAGCAGAACTCAGAACTGACGTTAGTGACTTGATGCCACAGAATCAGAGAAAACTTATCTTGGACTTTGTTCATGAACTATCTGGGGAATTCCACTGAAATGACACAAAATAGCTGTACTTAAATTCTCAGTTTGAACTGGAATCCCATGGTGGAGAATGCAGGCAGGGTTGTAGAATCCTGATTATTGAAAAGCTTCATTTTCAGAAGTGTTATAGGTACCAGTGTTTTGGATCATATGTTTTTCTAAGCAACCAGAATAGTTTGGGGGAGAGACAGTGAACGATATGAGAGAAGTTAGTGTGTAATGTTCTGAGAAGCACAGATGATAACCAGGATACTGTTACCCTTTCTGAAATCCATGCTGTTGAAGGCTCCTGCATGTCACGTGTCGTGTGTCACCCTTTAGGCTACTCTTTGCTTTTCTTTACCATTTTACTTTTCTCATAAAAAAAATTCTAAATCTGATAAGTTACTCTGAGATTTATTCTAAAACAACGACAAAATAGTTCATTTCAGAACTGTACATTTCCCATGTTTAAATGTACTGTAGTCATGTAAATGTAGTAAATGTTAGATTTTATGCTTATAAATGTATAAATCCATCATTGATGCCTCAATGCAGCGTTTATTGATTTATGGGAAGTACACATTTTCATACTGAATTCTCCTATTTAGGCTTATGAGAACTACTGGCCAAAGCAAGATTTTGGGGACCCTAAGTGAGATTTGGTTCGGAGGCCCCCCCACCTAATGTTTTAGTGCCCCCCTCTTGGCAGTGGATACTTTATTTTGCAGTGTTAAAGGTGCACTATGCAGAAATCGCTCCGACATTTCCTGGTTGCAAATTTCAGTTTATGTAGCAAATAAAGCAATTATAGTATAGAGAATCATTGTACCTTCTAAACCGCTATGAAATATATTTTCCATAACCACAAATATTATATTTTCAGCTGTTTGAAGCTGGTGTACAAAACCAAAAGTAAATGATGCAAAAACTACACTTAAGAATGGGAAGAATATAAATAGTGCACATAGAACAGATCTACCACTTCTTAGACTTGCTTTCAGTGAGAATGACAGATCTACAACTAATATTTCTATGTGAATTTGGTCGGGTCACCCAAAAAGTTACATATTGCAGCTTTAAATGTTATTTCCTGCAATTCTACTCATTTTACCATGGGGTGTAGAGAAAGTGTTGCCGTTTTAAAGCTAATTTCCTGCAATTCTACACATGTTGCCATGGGGTGGTGAGAAACTTTTGTAGTTTTAAATGTAATTTCCTAGAGTTTCACTGTAATGTCTGCACCTGTTGTATTCGGCGCATGTGACCAATACAATTTGATTTGATTTGATTTGATTTGAATTGAATGACTAACTAAATCAATGGGGGCCCCCTGGAGGTTGGGGACCCCTTAGAACATGCCCTACGTGCTTGGCCAGTAATTTGGTGGATTTGTCCTACTACAAGGTTAAGATACCTTACCTAGCAATAAAAAAATGTTTAGCTGAAATGGGCTAATTGAGTGACTGACATAACTGGAAAACTACTGATGCACTAACAAATGTTACTTTTTTTTATAACTCTCAACAGTAAGTTGAGAATCTGAATGAGTTCTTAAAAAATGTTTTGGGTCAGGGGCGCCCTAGCGGCCGCAGGTCCCTACGCGCATCGCATAGTCTGACTACTGGTCTCTCTGTTTCACTGGTCTTGCTTGATTAACAGTCTAAGCCCTCGGAAGGGGTTCTACAAAGCTATACGGAATTGTTTTAAGAAGGTCATACCAAGGATCATTTAGCTATTTGATTTGGAATTTTAAGACCCCTTGAAGTTTCCAAAAAGTATACATAAAAAATACTTGATGAAAAATAATTTTTGCCTGCTCTGCTATTAGCCCATGCAAACGCATTGAATAACAGATTCACTACATGGAACAACAGATAGTTCCCCCAAAAAATCTAAAGGAAGTTTACTCTGAAGTGTCAGTCCTATATCTGAGAGATATAAGAAAGTTCAGGAAATATTTGTTATTATATATATATTTTTTACATGTATATAACTCCTTATTTTTGGCACTAAAACAGTCTCCATATATACCTGCATTAATCTTTTCACCTGGTACTGGGGGACCTTCAGACGAGTCTTGTGAGGCCTGTGGGCATCCTAGAGCAAATGTACAGTGGGGGGAAAAAGTATTTAGTCAGCCACCAATTGTGCAAGTTCTCCCACTTAAAAAGATGAGAGAGGCCTGTAATTTTCATCATAGGTACACGTCAACTATGACAGACAAAATGAGAACATTGTAGGATTTTTTATGAATTTATTTGCAAATTATGGTAGAAAATAAGTATTTGGTCACCTACAAACAAGCAAGATTTCTGGCTCTCACAGACCTGTAACTTCTTCTTTAAGAGGCTCCTCTGTCCTCCACTCGTTACCTGTATTAATGGCACCTGTTTGAACTTGTTATCAGTATAAAAGACACCTGTCCACAACCTCAAACAGTCACACTCCAAACTCCACTATGGCCAAGACCAAAGAGCTGTCAAAGGACACCAGAAACAAAATTGTAGACCTGCACCAGGCTGGGAAGACTGAATCTGCAATAGGTAAGCAGCTTGGTTTGAAGAAATCAACTGTGGGAGCAATTATTAGGAAATGGAAGACATACAAGACCACTGATAATCTCCCTCGATCTGGGGCTCCACGCAAGATCTCACCCCGTGGGGTCAAAATGATCACAAGAACGGTGAGCAAAAATCCCAGAACCACACGGGGGGACCTAGTGAATGACCTGCAGAGAGCTGGGACCAAAGTAAAAAGCCTACCATCAGTAACACACTACGTCGCCAGGGACTCAAATCCTGCAGTGCCAGATGTGTCCCCCTGCTTAAGCCAGTACATGTCCAGGCCCGTCTGAAGTTTGCTAGAGTGCATTTGGATGATCCAGAAGAGGATTGGGAGAATGTCATATGGTTGTTTTTCTGCATAGGGACTAGGACGACTGATCCGTGTAAAGGAAAGAATGAATGGGGCCATGTATCGTGAGATTTTGAGTGAAAACCTCCTTCCATCAGCAAGGGCATTGAAGATGAAACGTGGCTGGGTCTTTCAGCATGACAATGATCCCAAACACACCGCCCGGGCAACGAAGGAGTGGCTTCGTAAGAAGCATTTCAAGGTCCTGGAGTGGCCTAGCCAGCCTCCAGATCTCAACCCCATAGAAAATATTTGGAGGGAGTTGAAAGTCCGTGTTGCCCAGTGACAGCCCCAAAACATCACTGCTCTAGAGGAGATCTGCATGGAGGAATGGGCCAAAATACCAGCAACAGTGTGTGAAAACCTTGTGAAGACTTACAGAAAACGTTTGACCTGTGTCATTGCCAACAAAGGGTATATAACAAAGTATTGAGAAACTTTTGTTATTGACCAAATACTTATTTTCCACCATAATTTGCAAATAAATTCATAAAAAATCCTACAATGTGATTTTCTGGATTTTTTTCCCTCATTTTGTCTGTCATAGTTGACGTGTACCTATGATGAAAATTACAGGCCTCTCTCATCTTTTTAAGTGGGAGAACTTGCACAATTGGTGGCTGACTAAATACTTTTTTCCCCCACTGTACGTGTTCGTGAGTCTGACCTTTCCACATAGGGGTCATATTAGCGTGTAGCCCAAACTGATCGGATGCTATAGACAGAAGTTAGCAGATCGGCTGTACCGACTTCAGACGAGTCCCAAAATGGAGAACACCATCGTGTTCGTGAGAGTCTCATCTTTCCATAGAGGTGTCATAATAGTTTGTAGGCCAAACCGACTGATTTTCAGGATGTCTCTTGGTCTGACAAACACCGCTCTAGCTCTGTCACCTTTCGCAGATGCGGAAGTGCAACATCGGCGGATGCGGTGGATTGAGACACATCAGTACAAAACAACAGATATCTCTAGCTTAAATTGACATATTTTTATGGGGATAAAAAGAAAAACCTAATTAGATTCACACGGGGGCGCGGACATTGACTCTAGGGGTTAAGAACATTTAGGCCTGTGGAAGCCCAGTTGTGGTCCTCTGTAGCTCAGCTGGTAGAGCACGGCGCTTATAACGCCAAGGTAGTGGGTTCGATCCCCGGGACCACCCATACACAAAAAAAAAAATGTATGCACGCATGACTGTAAGTCGCTTTGGATAAAAGCGTCTGCTAAATGGCATATTATTATTATTATTATAGTTCCGGTGGACACATTCCCTGAGTGTTGAACTCTCTGGATCATGTTTTTTCCTGCGAAATAAGTTACAAGAGAAGATTTGTCCTTTAGTTAGTGAAGAGAGACATCTACTGTGAGTGACATCCTGCTCTTTCTGCCTGTTACGCCATCCTCGTTATCAGAGCTGTGACTTTGCTGAAGGCTTTCTCCTCTCCTCTCCTCTGTTCACACGCTGCGGGAGGTCTGGTCACATGATGACACACTCTGGGTGAACCTTAACTCTCCCTCAGCTCAGCTGTCTCTCTGTCCTATCAACCCCGTTTCCTATTGATGACAATTCTTTTGATAGAGGTTTCCATAGACACTGTGTCAGCTTCTTAGGGATAATTCATATTTTAGGGGCATTAAGAGTTGATCTCCTCTTTTTTTCTGCTTTGCATTGACATTTAGGTATTTTTTTATATAGTTTTACT